TTCAGATTATAATTTTAGTAAGTTATAAATACTTTTTACATGACCCTGTATTGATGATGATGAGCTATCACCACACAAAATAATTAAAGTTGTGGCACTATGTAGTTCATTTTTGCTCAGATTTTTTACTATATTATTAAATGATCGACCTAGAGAACAAATATTTATGAAGTTTTGTGCTAACTTTTACTTTAACAGACAAGCCTTGGCCCAGGTTGTCATAAAAACATTAGTTTTGCTACTTTTTGAGTCATTAGAAAATGCAGGGGACTAATTGTCTAACTTTAAAATCTTTCGGTTTGAAAGATGTTGTATAACCATTGCTTGTTTCTGAAGACAATTGAAAAAAAAATATTTGTATTATGCAGCAATGGTTGTGCAACACCTTTCAAACTGAAAGCGATTGTTAAGATTTAAAATTAGACAATCAGGGGGCTGGTTTGAAAGGGCATGTATTATATGTTGTACATATAGGATAAGAGAGATTGACCGAGATCATGAGTAATTTCATTAATTTTGAGTACTACATTTATAATGGAATGATCAGAAAAAGAAGAATGATTAATAGTACTTATTTGTTGATTTTTTAATAATGACTCATATCGCTCTGCATTATAATTGCATAAATCAACTAACTCTGATGCAGACTTAATGTGTTCATTAATTTGTTTCTGTGCACTCGAATATTTACTTTCCGTATTCTCTAGAGATTCATGCAACTTTTCAATCTGAGAATGTAACGGTCTAGTAATGCGGTCATACATCTCCCCACTCTCTGAACACGAAAGGTGCTAATTTGAAGGTAAAATTTATTGAACCGAACGCAATTTAGGGTATTTACAAATTAAAATGAAACACAACAATTGGAAAATCAGTTTACTTTTATTTGATGGAATTTGAATTTGAAAAAAATACAAATAACATCTCGAAGGCGGACACAACTCTAACCTTGAGCTCTATACAACCATATAGTAAAGACATACATCTATCCATATAGTATATATTCACAACACAATAATTATTGTAGACATTTATTATGTAAAAGAACTGATATGACAACAAGAATTTTGTTCTTTGGCAGTTGGTGATTCAATATTGGTCTGTTTCACTGCCAATTTGTAAATAATAAGATATCAAAGTTGGCACATGTTCTATCTAATTCTAGTGGGAACAAAACGCGCGCTCCTGCGCTACTCCTTGACGAGAACAAAGTAACTGATGGTATTCTTAAAAAAATAACACTATTTACGTAAACATTAATTAACGACTAACATAAATTCTAACTCCTAGTGATTTAAAACTAATACTGAAACACCAAAAAATGACTTTACACTGAACATCACACATATATCTATAGAAGAGTACACTTATATTTTTTTTTATTTTTTCTTTAACAACGCTCTGTACAAACAATTGGAGATTTTGTTACGTAGCAGTTACGTTTTGTATATATGTATATACTTAAATATATAATAATATGTCATACATATGCGGGAATATAATAAAGTAGGGATTCAAAAATCATGGGCGGATTGTATGTTTCTCAAGTCACACGCCGACACGGAGGTCGGACTCACTAATACACATATATTATAAACGACACTCCCAAAAAATTGGTGAACAACGTGTTAAGTTTTCAATCAAAAGTGATTTCGACTCCTTACCTACAATAATAACTACTCTGCCCATTATATTTCCAAGCTCATCTGAGATTACAAGCGAATCACAGCCAATTTCCTAGATGCCAAAATAGAATTATCGGAATAAAAAGTTTTTATAATTACAGTAGCACATCGAAATATTACAATATAATGAGATTGATTCACATAGGGTAACACGAGGGGTACGTTATTAATGTTAAACGGTCAACTAACCTACCATCGGCCGAGAAGAATGATCGTTTGCAGGCGCGGAGAGAATACACGTGTTCCCGCATGACAAGTGTGCCCCGGCACATAGTAAATGCTTAGACTAGGCGCGGTACAACTAACAACGGAGCATCACTACTAAAACATAATGTATTATCAACGCTACCCAAGCACCAGTATTTTAACGTCTGACAGATTTGCGATGAGATCAAAGTAGGACTCGTAATTTTTTCTTTTTCGTTATAATATTACACCTGATGAATGTCGACGAGGAGTGAGATCTGCTACAGTAAAATCTAGTTGTGACGAGCCCTCGACAGGCTAGAAACACTTATCGCTAACTAAACTAACATAAGCCCGTGACGCGCGTGCCGTGTTGCAAACGCAATCGTGGTAAATGCTAAATGTAGAGATTTCGATCTACATACATTCGATAATAATTGACTCGTATTTTTTTTTGTATTTTTTCTGTATTTTCTTGTAGGAACTTAAACGATTAATGGTTACAACTAAAATATGGCTATTTATGTACTAAAGATCGACACCAGTCGGCCACTCGACTCGAGTTCGCAACACGGTACGCGCGCAATACTCAAATTTGCGACCTAGATTATTAAGATTGGCTTAAAATTTACAGTTTTCACCTTACATTAAAAGGAATGATACACAGCGCCTAACACCTAATCGATCGTAAGTATGTAAAATGCCGATTCCATACAAAAATATTTAAAAACCCTGTCAACCTCGACAATTTCGCAGCACCAATGAACACTTAGGAATTAAAAAATTTTGAAAACTAATCTCAAGTGTATACGAATGGGGCACGATTCAGTCGTATAGAGATCACAGTGGGGTGCGGCTGGCTCTGTCGAACGTTCCACATCAGAAAAGGACAACGCTAAGTTTCGATAAACGTTTGAAGTGAACGGGGCCGGCGCCGGCGACGTCAATACGACGCGCTCCTTCTCACACATATCTGTCTCTCTCACCCTCTCGCTCTCCTTAAGTACTTACTACATTTATACACATTTAGACAATAGTTAACATAGATCAATTGTCGTCCTATACATTCGCATCAACTTTTATAAACAACAAGGCGAGTCTATGCTGTGTGACAGGAGCCAGTGGTACTCAAACTATTACCAACAGACCACTAAGAAAACTGAAACTAAATTTTTTTGTATAAAATTATTCAACAACTTATTGCCCAGTGTAATTGACTTTTTCTTTAAAAAAATAACACACAGCATAGGACATGTCACACTGACGGGGGTCTAACATATAAAAAAACAGTACCTCCATTATTATTAGTTTACAAAAACGTAATCGTGGCATGTGTAAAATGACACTTTCAATCAGTTGTCAAGTTTTCGTATACAAGTTTTCGAATACGGTTTTGTTTACCGTCCAATAGAGGCACTTGCTGACCGCCGCCAGTGGGACATCATCTAAATCGTAAACCGTTTTTCGTTGAGCGTTGTCGTTGTTTGCCAATCTTATGTGGGTGCGACCACCGTGGGATGGGTGACCGCGCCCTCAACAAGATCACTGTACCGTTGTTTTGTAGTAAATAAATGTTAAACGGTACAATAATAGAGTTTATAAATTGGACTTGCGATTTGTTTGGCTTCGTGTAGACCAGTAGGTGACTGTTGAAATTGTAAAACATTAATTTTGGTCAAATTTATACATTAATTTATAGTAGCAACACTGACAGATTACGTTAAATACCTGCTTTAGATTTCATAGTAACAATTTTCTTAAATAAATTTAAGGTCAATGTTCTAATTTAGTGCAAAATCCAGTTTAAGACGATTGTTTTATCTCATTTCGGTGTCGTCATCCAGGTTTGCTCTTCATTTGATATTTACCAGACTTCTTCGCTGCCTTTCCCCCAGTCTTACATTTTATTGAACATATAATAAATTTGAGCTAGTCCAGCACGCAGCGGCTGATATAAAGACGAGACACCATTATTCAACAAAACATTATAATAATTCCAACAACAGTCACCCATCTACCAGTCGTCGTGACACGAAACCAAGTGACACATCAATAATGCAGCTTCTATCGGTTAACTCGTCATTCCACACGTGACATATATAATTTTAGGAAATTTCAAAATGTCATCTCAATATTTATCTTGCAAAAATATTTAAAAACAATGGTATTTTCGAATACTTTTACAAAACAAAATATTACAATAATTATGTTATATTTTTACACATTTTATCATTTATTTGACTTCTGTCGCTGATGTTGTATATTTTTTTTTCGTAATCAATTCCTATATCGAGTATTCAAATAAATATATAGCACAAAAATATGTCTCAAATCTTCTAAGATAAAACCTAAACCTGATTCTAAGTCTCATATTATTATATAATAATGTAAAATATAAAGGGAAATATTATATAAATGCCAAAAAATAAGTTGAATGTCAGCACGAGACTTTTTTCGTCTTATGTAAATTATCGAATATTTCGTTAGCGACATATCTCTTCAGACAATGGAGTCACGTGAGGTCAAAATCAACATACGTGAGGCGTCCACAACAATGAAGTGTTACATAATTATGTATTTAAACAGATCATATCTATTCAGTTGTCACAAACACATTATATAGATATTAATAGGAATATCCATGTCTGTCTGCTTGAGACAAGTACATTTTATATAATTTTTTTGTAGTGTAAAAGAAATTAGTGTGTAATTAGGAAATTGTCAATTTTAAATATAACATTTAAACGTATTATATAAAGTTTTCTTTAAAAAATGGAAATCTGTAAAATCTTAAGTTTTAACAGCTAAATCAACAATTACAACAAAATAATTTTAATCATTAGGGACCAAATACATATGCTCTCTTTTCAGTATTTTATTTTTCACTATTACCTTTCAGTTGCCTAAAATACAGTTCTTACAAAAGAACTAGAGATGCACTATAAAGGACCGGATAGAATTCTAAAGAATAAACTTTCAATCTTACATATAATGTTGAAAGACAGAGTGACTGAAAAAAACTGAAGGACGCTCTCATATGCAATTAATTCGATACAATTTTGTTTAATTATATAATTATATGTGGGTTGAACGAGATTGGTGTGTGATAGAAGCTGTCTCTAGGCCGGTTCACTTGTGTTCGATGGTGTGCGGGGGGGGCATGTGCGTGTGGTGGGGGTGGTGGGGGTGGGGGTGCGGGTGGTGGGGGGGCGGCGGGTACGGCGGGTAGTACGGCAGCGGCGCGTACTCGCCACCCTCCTCGTACCCCACGTACCCCATCCCACCCATCATGCCCATCATACCTGAAAATACACATTTCATGTTGCTATACTTAGAATTTAAAAAACAGGATTGTTTCGAACAGCGGCGCTGCGAGACCTACAAATGACGGCAGGTTATATTTCAAAGCCAGTCTTAAATTTAAGCTAAAGCAAAATGGAGACGGACTCTCCATTATTGTGGTTTATTCGAGTGTGTATTATCTGTTAATTAAGTTTTTTCTCTCATTAAGCTGCCGTCTTGTTTCCTTATTGGACACGGAAAAAGATAAAAAGGAAAATTGAAGTAACATTGTACCAGAATGGTATCCAATAGATGGGAAACATAAGAAAACTGAACTGAACTACAAGACATTTTATTAGGTCAATTTTAAACTAGCGAAAATTTATTTCAAGACAATATACTCGAAGTTCAGAATGAAAGGCTTGTTATTATTATTATGATTGTCTCACCTGGATCGGACTCGACGGGATAGTATGGTATCGGGTATATCGGCGGCGGGTACGGTATGTAGGGCAGCGTGAGCATGGCGGGCTCGGGCACGCACTCCTCCCCCGCGCCGCCCCCCGCCCCCGCCCCCGCCCCGTAGCCGCCCCCGCCCCCGCCCCCGCCGCGGGGCTCGCCCTGCCCCCGACTGTTGAACCACTGGCTGGTTACGAGAAACATCACCGTCGGAACATTCGTATGGCAAACGCACGAGGCCCAATCCGTTTCTTAGAAAACGATGTTTCGAACAATTTATCAGTGAATAAATTGCTGAACGACGGAATCGACTGTTATACTACTCTCTAAAAATGTTAATACGTATCTCATACATGATTTACGGAATATATCTGTAGTAGGGAAAAAGTAACAAGTGGATGAAATATTCATCAGCCCTGTTAGGTCCTGGGTAGCTAGCGGTTATACCAGTCGTCCGGATTGCGATACCTCATGGGTTCGAATCCCATCTAACAGTGCCAGGGACAATGTGGATTTTTTTAAGCATTTTTCATTGAGAATATAATTATAATCTTTTAAACTGTATCCATCGAATAAGTTTACTTGTGATATTTTACTCATAATGTGTCTCTTTGCTGAAGTAACAGATGACTGTATATTGACTAAAAGAAATTTTAATTGTACTTTCATTCCAAAATATTACGAAATATCATTTTCTTAAAAAAACAGAATAGGCCTTCATGTACACAATATTACTATTTAAATATTTGTAATTTTAACACAAACAACTAGGTTTATCATTTTGTGTAGGATATTTTTACACATTTAATAAACAAATTACAATGAAAAAATATATATTTTACCTAAATTAAAATTTTTTTTTCATCAAATTTCAGATAGAGTAATATCAGATTTAGGAACCCATTCTAAAAATAATTATCATCAATATTCTACCATAAATCTTCTCATGTACAGTTTGATCTAAAATAAAAGCATGTAATAAGTAGAGAAACGGTCACTCTTATTGTAAAGAGATTAAGGCATAGTAAAAGTGTTTTATATTATATAAAAAATCCGATATATCCAAATATTTTATCAATATGGATATAATAATGATAAACTGACCGATTGTTGGGTCCCTTGTTGCCCATGTTGTTGTTGTGGCCCTTGTTCTGGTTGTGGTTATTGTTCTGGTTGCCGTCTTGGTTGTTGCCACCGCGCTTGAACCTGTACATTAATATATTGCGTGTAGTCACACTTTTTTTATGACACTTTTTTATGTGTGACATCGGTAAGTACGTTTTTGATACACACACGTTTTTAATGAATCAAATGTGTTTTTTATATATCAGAAGTTATTTTCATGCACTCCTTCTCTGTATAAACTTCAACTGTGCCAAATTACGTACTTTTCCGTTCATATGATTTTCATAAAAAGGATTCGTTAGGTAGTGTTTTTGTATGATGTATGTATAAGTAAAAGAACATGTCCTATAAAAATCTATAAAGGTTCGTATGTAACGCAAGCGTTTACGTTATACTTTGTATCATATGAAATTGAAAATGTCATCAAAATTTTTTTTATAATAAAGTTAATAAACGATACTTAAAAAATAATTTGGACGGTGACTAAGAAATAAATCTTCCTGTACTAAAAATTCCGCAGAAGTATTCGACACGAAAAAAAATGATCACGCTATGTATGTATGACGGCTATATACAGCCTACCCTGCCTCTTAACCACCTTTCCCCACGCTCCCTGATGCCACATTTTATACTATCATATTTCTGCAACATATTTTTAATTACTTATTAGATTTGTAAACCTCGTTCTTTCTCGCTCGTTGACACTTGTCCCCCCCCCTAGATCCGGGCCTGACATACTGACCTTGGGCCCAACAGGGGGCGCTGCGCGTTGGGCTTGCCGTTGTTGTTGGGCGGCGGCTTGTCCGCGGGCTTGTGCTTGTGGCCGTGCTCGCCCCCTCCCCCGCCGCCTCCCCCCGCCCCGCGCTCCTGCAGCCCCAGCACCTGCATGTCCTGCACACAGAACAAACCATGCACTATCCACACTACACCGACTGACGATTTTTACGAGTTTTCTCATCTGTCGACGTCGACACGTACATTAGAAGGCGTACACAGTAAAATAGTTATAGAAAATTACGACTATCATTGTGTAATATGCAGAGGATATTATTATATTTGAACAACATAAGCTGATAATATAAATGATTATTCAAAATTATACCATTTCATTTCAGTGTTAAATTGATATTTACAATAATAAATTTTGTCCAACTTTGCAGAGCGTGAGATATTCTTCCCCCACGCATTCATCGCTCCCGTTTACCGAAGCCTTAACGTGCATTCTTAGGTTATTACTTTTATAGGTGTTCTACTTTTCACATGAAATTACGAGTAAAAATGGCATCAGTCACAACGCTTGCTTAAACGTGACTAAATTGAAACTCGGGCAATTGCCTTGGTTTTTTGTTGTCAATGTTGTGCGTAGACAAGCCATCTAAACTTTTTAATGAATCATTGCTTTAAAGGTGTATTTAATAATCATTGTGTGCGTGTGCGTGTGTTACCTGCGTGAGGTCTCTAGGCGAGTAGTGGCGCGGGGGCGGGTGCGGGGGCGGGGGCCCGTACGCGGACCACATGCACTCCACGCCCAGGTTGAAGTAGAAGCGGAGAGTCGCTATGTCTGCACAACATTACAGCAAACTCTCATATACATTCTCATATACACCGATTCTCAAATATTTAGATAGACGCCGAGAATATATTTTTAAATAAACATATAAACTATATTCGAAATAAACGTATGAAATCCACGTTCTGTCAAATTTTGGTGTAATTTAAACGATGTTTAAGACGAGATTTATTACCATTTTGAAAAATCAAAAATTATTTATTAAATCTAGACTGTTACACTTGTAGAAGCTGAGAGCTACGCCATCGGTTCGTAAATCTACGGCGGGAGACGTTGTACCGAGAAGAACTGGCAAGAAACTCGAAACCCAAATTGTACATTTTCTTAAATAGAACAAATCTGCACATGAACTTCGTATCGATCAGTTAACAATGTTATGAACGAACAATTATGTCACAACAAAACATGAAGGACTCACCGTTCATCGGCAGATCGGCGCCATTAGCTTGCACGCTCTTGAACACGTGCGGGTTGACCCCCTGCGGGGGCAGCGGGGGCGCGTGCGGCGGAGGCGGCGAGGCGCACCACACGAGGGACTTGACCCCGCACATGTACGGCGCCGCGCCCCCCACCCCGCCCATGCCGGGGCCCATGCCCCCCACGCCCGGGCCCATCCCGCCCACGCCCACGCCCGGCGCCATGCCGCCCACGCCCATGTTCCCGTATCCAGCGTTCGTCGGATTCATGCCGGCCGGGTGGGACGCTTTGTTGCAAACGTTGAAAATGTTTACTGATATATAATACCAAAATAAATACACACCCCCAGTTTAAAAATCGGCCAAGCGCAAGTCGGACTCGCACCTACAGGTTTGTACACACCGAGGATTCCGTACAAACCTGTACGTATAATATTGTGACGTAACTAAAAATGCAAGGTTGTCGGAATTTTTGCTTTATATGTGCTACAAAACATTGCTTAATGCCAAAATTCAAGGTTCTAGCTCTAGCTGGAGGTACCCTAAGGTTTTGATGCAGTTGCGAGTTTGAAAATATGCGGCTTACATTGCTGTTTCTTCTGATTGCGTTGACACAGAAGTTTGATTTTGTTACAGGTTAAAAGTATTAGAGACTTGAGTATTTGATATGAATTTCAATTTATTACCTCTACGCGTTCATGAGAAAAGGCGTTTTCATTATATGATGTAACTAAACATGTAACTAAAAATGCTATAAGGCGTTGCTTCGTAATAAATTTTAAGATTATGACCCTGTAGGTTTTGATTACTTTGCAAATTTAAAAAATTTGCGGCATTAACAGCTGTATCTTTTGATACTTATAGCGTTAACTTAGGAGTTTGATTTTTTTTTCATAGCTCCAAGGGACAACAGACCTGAGTTCCTGAGAAAAAGGGTCTTGGGTCATCAAAGTGATTCTATTGGGGTTCGTTTTCCTTTTTTTACCTCGTACGAAACCCTAAAAATAGTTCCTCTTAACTATATTATGCGTGGTGTGTTTAATTCCACGTAAAAGGTCTATTGTTGCCTATAATTTAGTGAGACGAAACATATTATGGCGACCTTTAAAACTTTTTAATAATAAATCAATAAGCTGGAGCCAGCTCGACGACAGACACATTTTGTTTACTTGTCTAGTTTATTTTTAGTATATTATATTGTATACTGCGATTTGTGTTGTCAAATAAATATGTATCCTCTGTCGTAACAGGTCACAAAAGGTCTAAAAGTATAACAGATACAAAATAATAAATGAGTATTATTTAAATGATAAGTAGCTTTAGACATCCTTGTTTTTTAGAGGTAGTTTAAAATGTCTCGGCAGGACTGACTCTTTCCTGTATTCAAACAGTGCTGGATTTTTCATTAAAATCCACCGATCTAGGTCGATAATGATTCAAACAAATACTCAACCTCTGAAGAAAAAAAAAGGAGGGATGTAAATTCATTAGGATAGGGATAGGTGTGATTGAAAAGTCTAAGAATGTCATCAAAGGGTTTTTCCAATACTAATTTTATTCTAGACTACCTGTTGTTAATGTAGCTACGCTTTTAAAATAGTCCCCGGTGATTTCGGAGCCAATTCGATGCAAACAAACAAACAATCAATACTTTCCTCATATATATTATTAGTATTCCTACCCTGACATGTGACTTCATGTAATCACACATGTATTACCTAATTTAATAGCCGATGACTGTTTCTAATTGTGATGATGAAGATTTTATTGATTGTTTTCTAGCGGGAGGGGTCTAGACAATTCAATGTTAAGTTTTATATAGATATATGAAATTGATCACTCACTGTACACGTTGCCCGTGTAGGTGGTCATGGTGTTGGAGGTGGCGGGGGTGGAAGCGCGCACAGACGCGGGTGACGTGATGCCGTGCCCACCCATCTCGGTGTTACCACTCTGCTGGAACACAACACTCGATGACAATTGGTAAAATGAGGGATAAATGTATACTGTTAATTAATTTATTATTATTATGACAAGACAAAATGTATGTCAAAGCCTAATCGATTTTAAAGTATACCCCAATGTATTAAGGTTTAAAATGAAATGGCGAAATTTTACAATGATGTATATATCCTGACGTGATGTTGCCCGTACAAAACCAATTTAATGAGTCTTTTTTTGGTGTACGCGCCCTCTTAATATTGTAGATATCATTCGTCACTCGTATTTAAGAAAACCAAGATAATATAAATTTATGATCCAATAAACTAAGTATACAACTGCAACAGAACCAAGGTCGAAATGATTTTGCCCATATATTACAAAGTAATATTGATACAAAACAGTGATGAGTATGAAGTTACTTGGTTATGGTGGTTCTCGGGCGGGGCTCCGTTGGAGGTTGTGTGCGCGATGTCGTGGGGCGCAGCGCCCGCGGTCGGCCGGCAGTCCACCATCAGGGGCAGTGCTTCAACTTCAACCTGGGAACCAATCGGTTACATTTAAACCAACAATCGTCACCGCCGTATTATGGCACATAACTGCCGATGTATTATTATTAAGAATTTAATACATTTCAAATGTTAACTTTTAAATAGGGTCGATGCGCCTGTATCCCGTCCACCTCCCATTTACAAACATTTAACGGTTTAACCTTGTAAAAATATCAAAAACAGTAATGGTGGGCGCTTGAGGCCCAAAACATAAACAAATGGCAACTTGGTTAGACCGCCTCGATTAAACGTCAATAAGTGGGAAGGCAAGTCCAGTCAATAATTTTTTTAAATCTAATTTCATAGTGTGATTTTTTTTTTTCATTTAATTTAAAGTTATAGAAAACTTATTGGGTTTATTAGAATTTGGAGCTCATAAAAAGCATGTTCTGCAACAGTTTTCGGCTATCCGAACTAACCGGTCCGAAAAAAACTGGAAGTTTTATTAAAGAAAAGCGATTTTTCGTTCTTTTCTTTCAAGGTAATTGAAAAGATGTAATTAATTAAATATGTATGTATTCATTGTCATGTTTTGTAGTTTTCATGTATTAACTAATAACAGTTACTCTATAAAAACTAAATGTGGCCATTACCTATTGGCATTACATGATATATAAATTGTTAAGAAAAGTTTAATAATATTTATGTTCTGTTTAAAAAAATAAAGACATTGTGAATTAGTTTTATTTTTGTTACATTCGTTTTAATCAGTTTTAAAATATTAGTATATTTATTTTTACTTTATTTATTTCAAAATTAGAGAGACGGTTAATAAATTCTGATGTCGCCTGGACACCAAGATCGTGCCATTTAACGCCGTGCAGTTTTTTTCATTGGGGTTTTGTGAAATCTCGTGTTTATGCGAATAAGAAACAATTCCTCAGCTCAAATTAGAGATCCACTGCGTCATCGGTAAGATACAGCTAGATCTGTGTAAAAGACATGGTTTTTTTTTAATGTTTATGGTTAACTGTTTTTTTTTTAAAGAGATATCCGAAAAAAACTGTTTTTGCATGCCCTGATGACCACGGAAATCGCTTCGATTTTTTTTATTGAAAAGATAGAAAATAGTAATATGATCATGGTGTAAAAATTAAGGCCAGTGCTCCAATAGACAGTTTATTATTTTTAAAGTGATAGATTTATGTGATCATATTTATGAGACCCGTTTAGTTAAGTAAACTGAATTTAATTAATATTAAAAAGTGATAATTTACGAAAAAAAGTAAACATAGAATCTGTGCTTTCTGTAACAACATGTTCTCAGCGTTAGATAAACTAAAAATTTAAATCCACTAGTTGGACGTAAACGGGCATATCTACCCTAGATATTTTACTGCCCTTACATAACATTAACACAAAATACGAATCCAATACAGGGCAGATATGACCCACCAATATTACCGAACCAAAGTAACTACACAAAATAACATAAAATAGTAATTTATTATATATATGCAGACAATTTTTCAATATTTTTATTTTATAAATACATGAAATATAGCTTAAAAATATTTAAATAAGAATTCATATGTAACTTAAAATTTAAAAATCACTGATTACTTAAATTTAATTTTCTAAATTTCCAGCAAAAATTCCAACTTCTATCATGGCGTCGCTATAACGACGTGCCAGTGTTGCCAAATTAGTACTTTCGATGCTAGATCTGGCACTATTTTCATAAGGTTAGCACCGGAATTGAACTTTAGCACCTAGCACCAAATCTAGCACTATTTAGTATTTCTATTTTCTGCTTATAGTTAGATTTTATAGGTAAGTTCAAAGAAAATGTAATTCGGAGAGATTTAAATAAATATGATTAGGAACGACTTTTCTACGTTAAATTTAAATGAGAAAGATGGATATTTCAATATTTCATTGTCCATGATCCTACATGAAATAATTCCATTGCAGAAGATTGTGACAGTGAAAAAGAAGTTGTTTTAATAATAAAAGATTTATAGACAAAAGTAAATATATATTTTCCTTTCTTTTTCTTTGCTAAGTGAAAAAAATATGTTAAGCACAATTTTTGGGATATCCCTGGCAATCTAGCACTTTTACTTTTTGTATCGAGTTGGCAACACTGCGTCATGCTCCTCTAAAACTAACATTGTTCTGTGTATGCTTAACTGGCAGTATGGCTAAATTCCTTTGCCTGTGCCATGGATGATACAACAACTACTACTGTATGCTTAAGGTTTAATTCTCTCAAGTTCTGTTATCTGATATAAATTCTGATCAAGATTACGAGGGGCGTGGCGTCACGCGCTGTTTGCGTTCATGTGACAAGTATAAAATGATTTTTCATGATTAATTTAAGCAATTTTAAAAATATATTAATCATAAAAGTTTAATTATCGGTAAACAGTACCAGAAAAAAAATATTTTGTTTACTGTCTACACTCATATTGATTTTCTCAACTACTTCACTAAGAAACTAGCTTGTAAACAAGGACTGATTCTATAGCAACCTGGAAAATTTAACTTGCAACTAAAACTAAAAAATTTTAAATCAGCAACTAAAATACAACTACTAAAAACAAGCAGAACATTTAGCATTAGTTTGAGCTACGATATGGCGAATATATCATTTCATAAGCACCTCATTAGATCAAAAGTTAATGGTACCTGTATCAAACACACACTCTACAACTTGCATACTATTTTCAAAAATATGAGTAAGTTCAGCGTAAATAAACTAGAAAAGAAATAAACACTCAAAGAGAGTTGAAAGGAAAATCAAATGACATGCTTATAAATGACAACATAAACTATAATAACTACATCACTAAAACAAACTAACAGGCATTGGCTCAAAATTAATAAAATCCAAATGTGGATATGCAGTGTAGTCAACATTGGTTTGGGTCACATAGGGGTAGTCGTCGTCTCCCTCAGACCTCTCCTCGTTCCAGTTCAGTATGGCTTTTTGTGACATGGCCTTATCAGGGGTTTTCGTATCATCAGAAGTGCCCTTCACCTTATTACGGGTCTTGTTCAAACCTTGTTTTCGGGTGATGTTGCCTGGATGTTGTGAAATGAATGTGAGTGCAGGTATTATGAGAACAACATGAAAATGTGCAGGAGTTAGGAGCATATAATGTATAGTGTTGCAATCACTAGTTAGAGTAAAACCTGAGACAGGATAGGTTTTGCACCGAACTCTTGCACTAAAAATTAAATAAGATCGCACCTATTTGCTGCAACATTTGGCTAAGAGTCAAGAACTGAGAGTTGGCCCTGGAGAACCTGTATGGCGGTGCCCAAGGGCGGACCTCATCTTGGGGTAATGACTCCAGCTGATTGTAATTCACCACACGCTTCTCCCCTAATTCCTCAATGAAAACTAAACAAGGTCCGCCGTCCGGGCGCATCTCCTGGATGTGGCAATGGTAAGGCACTGTCTGTTCTGGTTGCAGTCTACACAAACACTTGACACCTACTTGAAGAGTGGTGCCATCTGAATATCTAGCCCCATAACGTAACTCTGCAAAACCAAATCAATTTACCACACAACTCAACAATTCAGAGCAAACATTGCAAGAAAAACAATGTACCTCGTCGCATTTCACTCCATACATCAAATTCTATGTTGCGATAAATATCTGGATCTAATGCTTTTGCTACTTTATAAGGGAACGGTGTGATGCCATTATCAAGCAAATCTTTTGCACTGTTCACATTCAAACAGTTCATGCAGACATTTTCAAGTTGAATGAGGCTACGATTAAATACAAAAATACTGAGAGATTCCTTCAACAAACTGGCACGTTCTAAATCCTCTGTGTGGTGTTTACATTTCAGTGCAACAGCATTATTGTTCTTGTCTTTGTTATCTTTGTTGGTGGCTTCAATAAATATCTTAGCCCTTTCCTTTTGCTTCTTACGTCGCTCCACATTTTCAGACATGAAATACTCAATGTGGTTGGCGGGTACTTTGTCATGAAGCATTTTATCCACAGCATATGGTAAATCTTTCAATTGGTATACACCATCATAAAGAATTTCATAAACCAACGCTACAAAATAACCATAAATTTGCAAATAAAATGCATTGAAAATATGGCAAAAAAATTGCTGAAATTAACTTATACAAAAAACTAGTTCACAACACAAAACAGCTAATTTGCAATTAAAGCATAAACATTGCTATTCACATTAGGAAAACTTTGAAGTTTTCTCACTAACTAATTACTGTTGATTATTGTTTGTGAAATTGAATTATAATTGTAATTGTATGTATCCATTAGAACAAACTTACATTGACAAAATGAGGATGTCGTAATAACTTCTTTAGTATATACCACATCAAAGTGCTTAGTGTCAGGTGAATGAAACAAGTAAATTGTTTTCCCATACCCATTACAAATTTTCGTTTGAGGACCATTGTTGGCTTCAAATATTACAAAATCACGTCTGAAAGGTGTTTTAAAAATGCAATATTTTCATCAATTGTAATTATAGATTAATAAGAGTTTGAAATAATTTTGTAGCTATCTTACCTATATAAGTGACTCATGGCAGATATTTCAATAAACCCTCCCCATTCTGAAGCATTTGCCATCTCTTTCAAATAATTTTCAAAATTACAATTCAATGACTACAAAATAAATTGTTATTAGTTCAGAAAATACCAAGTGAAAATAAGTCAATAATTTTTTTTATTGCATTATATCCTACCCCTTCAAAGAGATGACTATTTGAAGCCATAAACTGAATACAGTCGAGGCGCACTTTGTGAAAGTATCTTTGGGTGTTGTAGATGTTTTCAGATACAGCTCTAAAGAGACAGCTGGAGTCCCTAGCCGTGTGTTTACGAAAAAAACCCATGTCATCTAGCCACCTGTCAGGTTCCGAGGAACGTTTATGTATTTTCCAGGGTCCACGACAACGGATCGGAGAAGGCGACATTGTCTAAACAGCTATGTATCTGCAGGTAAACAAAAACAAATGACGCTTCTGAATTCTACATTGAATATGTACTAAAATTGTTTTACATTGTGTGTATTAAAGTCACATTGAACAAAACATAAAAACTTAATAATATTGACCATCACACCATATCGTAGCTAAATCAGTTTGGTGAATGCAAATGGTTGTTTTTCTGTCTACGTTAAACAACACGTGCAAATGCAAAATCGAGCGTGTGTCTAGGAAATATTATCAAAGCACTTACCAAAATGATATTTCCCAACAGCCAGCATCAGTGGTGAACTGTTTTTAGATATAGGATGTAATATTTCAAGAAAACTGAACGAAAATCGCACGTGCCAAAAGCAAACCGTCAAGACCCGGCGGGAAGGAAAATCAAAATTTACAATTTTAGCATTTTTGCGAGTTTTTTTTTTTAATAATTATTTATTCATAGCCATGGATACAAGTCCTTCAGCCAATACATTTTATAAATTTAACATTTGTAGAATAGCTATATGCCTACATATTTATATATTTTCTATAGTATTACAAATGTATTTAAACAATGGAAAAAAATAATCTGGATTTGCTAAAAAGTCTATTATGCGGCGGGGAACACTTATTTCACTAGTACTGTCATTGATAACTTCGGTAACGTCATCCGCGAGCACTAACCGTTGTAAATTAAATGAAGGACATCTAAGTATTAGATGATCTAAATCGGCTTTATCTTGATTACAGTGAGAACATCTGCTATTGTGGATTATGTTCAGTCTATGCAAGTGTGCTGGTGTTAGACAATGTCCCAATCGCATCCTTGATATAGTAGTTATGAATCTCCTGTCGCTGTATGCAAAGGTATGGTACCATGGTTTGGTAGGAAATTCCTTTTGCACTTCTTTATACCATTTCCCCTTCGTTTCAAGCGTAATGTTCCAATATTGCTTCCATAGGTCCATTGCCATGGTTTGGAAGAAATTATAATAATCAGTAAAAGGTAGGTATAATGTCTCTGAATGATCTTCATCATGGTCTGAGCGCGTAATCATATCAACCATTTCATTTCCCCTTATGCCACTGTGTGAGGGCACCCACAAAAATTCTACATTAACATTCTTACTATCTAATTCTATTATTATATTTAAAATTTCATACAAAATATAGTTTAATTTAAACGACTTATTATTATTTACATTTGAAAGGGCAATTAAAACACTCTTTGAGTCAGATATTATCAAAATATTGTTTACACTATTTACAAGATTATTTATATAATGTAATCCACAGTATATAGCATAGCTTTCTGCAGTAAAAATGCTACTTGAATTATTTAATTTGATACATTTCTTATAATTTGTTTGTGGATCAAAATAAGCTGCTTTGACACTTTCATTTGCCTTAGAGCCATCTGTATAAATGTCATAATAATTATTTTTAGTATTTTTAAACTCTAAAAACTCTATTGCACAATGTACATCATCAAGATGAAATCTTTTTGAACATTTAATTTTACCTTGATAGGGATATTTATAAATAGGCCATATATCAAATTTTTTGATGTTTCTACAATTATTCCTAACATATGTAAAAATTGTTGTCATTTCAGGAAATGGACCATGGACAAGTGCAGAAGCTGAGATAACAGTAGATGGAATGGTGTGGGATATTTCGGATGGTGGGGTGAGTTGCTTAATCAAGTTACTATTATTTGAAGCTAGAACTTTTAAATTGAATCTCTCAGCTAACTGCAGCCTGCGTAAGGTTAAAGGAGGTATACATGTTTCAATCTCTAATGAATTAATTGGTGTAGACCTCATTGCTCCACTAATTAATCTCAATCCCATATTCTGAATAACATCCAATTTTTTTAAAAGAGTGCTACTGGCATTCATGTATGCTACACTGCTGTAATCAAAATGGCTTCTTACTATACTTTTGTACAGCATACTCATTATTTTGGGGTCAGATCCCCAGAATGTGCCTGCCAAATGTCGTAGAATATTAATACCTCCTAAAGCATTTTTACTAATGTGCTTAATGTGTTCCTCAAATTTTAACTTATTGTCAATAATAACTCCTAAAAATTTATGGCACTTTACAATAGGAATATGGATATTGTTGTAAACTATTTTTGTATTTGTTTGAGCACATGGATTTTTACTAAAAATTATTACAGAACTCTTTTGTGGACTTATGTCTAATTTAAGTTTATTTTTATAGTAGGTATATAATTGATTTAAAGCACTGTTTATATTACTTTGTGCCACTTCTATGTTTTGATTTATGCTGTACAAAAGAATATCATCAGCAAATTGCAATATTTTAATCAAAGTTGTGTCAATATATTTTAATATTTGGGAAGTATATAAATTGTATAGCAAAGGAGATAATGTTGCGCCCTGCATAGTACCTTTATTTATAATTTTAGGGCCATGCATTTTATTATTATATCTAACAAATACTGTCCGATTATTAAGAAATTTATAAAGCCATTTCAAATTCTGTGCTGTTAAGCCTATTTCATGAAGTACTTCAATTAATTTTTCTATATTTATATTATCAAAGGCACCCTTAACATCTAGAAAGACACATATCATATTAGAATGACTCAGTTGCACTTTTTTAATATCAGATATTAAAGATACAAAGCTTTCAGAACAACTTTTGCCTTTTCTGAAGCCAAACTGTATAGGTGGAATTAAGTGATTTGATTCAGCAAAGTAATCTAAACGTGACTTTAACATGTTCTCAAATATTTTACCCAGACAAGATGATAAAGAGATAGGCCTGTATGAGGATGCTATATTTTCTTGTTTGTTAGGTTTTAGTATTGGAATGACACACTGGGTTTTCCAGGATTCAGGTATAGCTAGATAGTCCCAAAGTTTGTTATAAATGTTGAGCAATGTTAGTTGTGCATTCAAATGTAATTTTTTAATTAAAAAATAAGGAATATTGTCTATACCTGGTGTAGTGTCTTTTCTGTTTTTCAGTGAAGTATGCAACTCTTCTATTGTAAAGTGGTTATTGAGAAACATATTTACTCTATTTTCTGTAGCTGTTTCAAAGAACTTGTTTATTTTATCCTCATATATTTGTGTAGAATCAGATAAATTATTTAAAAATGTTGGGATCCATTCATCATTAAAATTTCGATTTCGATTACTACTTCCTATCCGTTTAAATTTTTTAATGTATCCCCATATTCTAGATACTGGTGTTAACCTATTAAAACTACCTACTAATTTATGCCAAGATTCTTTGCATTCATTTTTCAATATTTTTTTCTTAAGAGCATCAATTTTTTTATAATGTATCCAATTTTCTATAGTAGATGTAGAACGGTATGCTTTTAATGCTTGTTTTGATTGATTAACAGCATCAGTACATTTTTGATTCCACCAAGGGACTGGTTTTCTCAAGGCTAATGTGTTTGATTTTCTTTTGCATTTTGGAATGGTTTTATCCCGCAAATCATTTAAAATGTCAATCAAATTATTATACATATTAAGAGGACTCTCATTGCTACAATCTATTTGAGAAAAAGAAGTTTCAGATAGGGAGTAGTATTCATTCCAGTTTGCTTTATTATAAATATATTTCTCTTCTACAGGAGTCACATCATATGAAGAAGGCTGAACATTCACGTCGAGCAACGTCGGGAGGTGATAGCTACCCAATGGATCATTGTGTACATACCATTCACATAAATGAGCAACCTGAGAACTAACAAGAGCCAAGTCTATTGCTGAAGCTTGCTTATTGGGATATGGAATTGTTGTTGGTGTACCATCATTTATAATGCACAAATCACAATCATCTATTATATTGTATAATGACCTGCCTCTATTATTATCGCTGTGGCATCCAAAAGCTACGTGATGCGCATTGAAATCTCCCATAATTATGCTTGGTTTAGGTATGGAGTTAATGAGTGTTTTTAATTTATTACAGTCAAATCGATTATTATTATTACTTGGTGGGCAATATATACAAAGTATAGTTATGGGACCAGATTTCGTCTCTAATAAAATACATATGTTCTGGATGGATTCATGAAATACTGTATTAATAACACTGTACTTCAGTCCATGTTTAATTAACATACCTACCCCATTATGAGAATTTTGAGAGATCTTGTGAATGAAATTGTATGATGGAAAATGTGGGATTTTACTATTAGATTTGAGCCATGTCTCATTAAGTAAGCAGATATCTATGTTTTTGTCATTTAATAAATTTTGTAATAAGGCTTTTTTGTTGTGTAAGCTTTGTATATTATATTGAAGCAAATGTAAATACTTATCCATTAAATTAAATGTGATAAAAATGTCTCTCTGATTTTCTTAGAATTTAAAGGTGTTTTTTCCTTTTGGTTGCCTAAAGCAATTAAAGATTTTACAATAGCATTCAGTATTATTTCATTATTTGCAATTTGATTGATATCAAATTCCTTAGAGTTTTGACTTTTATAGTTAAGTTGGGGGTAATTATTCATATCATTATTGGGAGGTGTCGCACTCACCACAGTGGCATAAGATTGCTGTGAATATTTCTTCATATTCTCTTCCATCTTCTGTTTCTTCACTGGACAATCTCGGGATATGGCCAAATGGTTGCCGTTGCAATTGATACAAGTAATTTCGTCTACTTCGCATTCTTTATAGGAGTGATGTCCAGCACATGAAGAGCACATCTGGTTTCCTCTGCAAACCTTGGCTGAGTGATTGTACCTCAGACATTTGAAGCACTGTAAAACTGGAGGAATATATTGGTGAATCTGATACCGGAATAATTGTATATATGCATGTAGAGGTAAAGAAGTTGTGGCAAAAGTTACTGCTACTGTTGTTAAGGGTATTAGCCCCTCGTTAGTTTTTTTCATAAAGCGTTTGACTGATATTACTTCAGCGTCACAAGTTATATTTTTATAAATTTCTTCATTAGACAGTTCTTTGGGAACAAACTTAATTATGCCAATTTTCTCAGTTAGATAT